CCTCTCTTAACGTGCCTTACGCGCCGGATTCTTCTGTGCAGGGTTACAGTGTGAGATCCATACAGAGCTGTAGGCCTCATCCCCCTGGGACGAGGAATTCTGAGAGGGTGAAAACCCTGGATCAACTCCATTGGGAATTAGGGTCTGTCTCATTTTTGAGAACAGTAACAGAATATTGTTGTGGATGGAGGGATCAGACAGTTCTGTTCCAGTTAAATTGTGAGTTGCATCATGAGAAGGGTAGCAGGGTAAACTACCTAACTGTAAAACCATCTAAAAACCCAGATAGAAGAGGAATTTTATAAAAATATTTATGAAGAAATGGCTGTAGCTTGGTTTTCACTAAATCTTAGAAAATTCTGGTCTGTGAAAATCAGAGTAAATACTTTTGTAAGCCCTTTATTTTCCTGTAAAGTCCTTTGATACAATCCAGGGAGCTCACAATTTTAGGAGTGACCTGTTTCTTTTGAAATTTGTCTTTTCGGTGTGTGACTTCTCTTAGGTATTTTATTCATTTAGGCACATACTTAGAGTATTTGAGAAACAATCTTGAAGTTTTTTCTCCTTACTAAACTGTATAAACTGTAAATTAAAAAATCTTGACTTTACCACTTCAGAATTACAAGGACATGCTTATAATAAAGAACATGCTTTGAATTTCACTTTTCATTGATCCAGGGGTAAGAAGTAAGCGAATGGGTGGATGTATAATTCTTCTGCGGAGATAAGGAAGGAGATGCAGTTGTGAGCGTGAAGGGCATGGCAAATAACTGTACTATGCGGAGGGATTCCCACAGAGCAGCTCTAGTTTGGATTTAATTAGTTTTTATTGCAAAGAGTATGGGAAACGGCATTAGCGTAGGAGTGACTGTTCAGTTTTTCAGATGCACTATCTTTCAAATAAAGTTTCTCATTTAAAAACCGACTGTTTACAGGGTCTTATTGGCAGGCTTTATTTAATGTGACCCTTCTCTGTTCCTTTGTACAGTCCTTCGTCAAGCTTTCACAAGAACAGGGTTGCTCTCCCCTTTTGCCTTCTGTGATGAATTTAGTACTGTGAGACTGCAGCATAATAGAGCCATTACTGAGCTAATGAGAGCAGCTAATCGACAAATACTTAATGGGGTAAGCTTTGTTACATTTCTTTGGCAATCTCTGCATTAAGAAATTAACACATCGTTGCATCCAAAGATGCTTTTGTTTGGGGGTTCTTTTCGTATTGGACTGGATCTTTTTAATAACTCCATTATCATACGGGAGAGCGGGAGAAACGGCGCTCCCGTCCTACGTAGCTGTTTGGGATGGCACCTTCTGGTGGCACGTTCTGGTTCTATAGGTGCAAAGCTTTTGAAGTCAGCAATGTTTGTTCCTTAAATAACAAAAGTTAAACCTTTATAAACGCAGCCAAGGTGCTCTAAGTATTGCTACAGCTTTTTTCGACAATGGATAGACATCCGTTGCCAACTTTTAACTGTTTCAGCTGATTATGTTAACACCCTTGCGCTTATATGAGTGGAGGGCATAATTTGTATAATGTGCTTCAGGCTGAATCAGACCAGTTTGCTTATCTCGCTGCTTGAACTAAGCTAGTTAATTTTGTCTTAAGCACATTTTAGAGCTCTCATTTTATCCTGTTTGCCAGCAGAACTCTAAAAGGGCAGTAATCTCCCCAGCAGAGAGATGTTAACAGATTGCTGGTGGGATAATACTTAAACTTCATGAAGCTCTGCAGAATGTGAATGGCTATCAGTAACCTCACTTACTTGTAAGAACACGGTTGTAGTTTCTGTTTCGATTAAGCTGCCGTGCCGATGGCATGGTTGACCTGTTGTTCTGTACGGCATGTTTTTATATTGGATTTTGTTGTTTCATAGGAACTTGATAATGGAGATTCTCATGCAATTGGGTATGTATTCAAAGCATTTAGAAATACTAATCATCATCACCACCATCCCTGGATGTGTTTAAGAGACGGGTGGATGAGGTGCTGAAAGATACGGTTTAGTGGCGGACAGATACGGTTGGACTGGATGATCTCTAAGGTCTTTTCCAACCTAGTGATTCTATGATTCTATGATTCTACTAAACCTAACCACCTCCCTGAAGTTCTGTGTTCCTCTTTGAATTTAATTAATACTGCATTACATATTCAGGCTCTGAAACGTAGAAAAAAAACTTCTCCAAACTGTCACGGTGATCTGGTGAAAGTTCCTTCTTCAGTACAACTTTCACAGTTAGTGCCATCATTCAGGAAAACAAGATTTACCAGGCACAAACTTAAAGAAATCCTCTTAATGCTTCTGTGAAGGCAGAGTGTGGATTTGTAGCACGGGAGCATGCTGTTGCAGTCCGCTGGCTTTCAGTATGCGCTGAAACAGTGAATGGTGCAGCGTGGTAATGTCCATGTACTTTCTGCTTCTCGTATTGTGAAGAGTATTTCTAGGTTGTGTACACCTGTAGCCTATATAATACCTTACAAGCTGAAATTTAGTTTAATGCAGCCTAACTTTTTTGATTAGGGAAAAAGAAGTTATCTTTGAAGCCCAGACTTCACGGTACTTGAATGAATTTGATGAGGTTGCAAGGCTGGGAAAAGGAGGATATGGTACAGTATACAAGGTATTCTTTACCTTCCATTTATAACTGATCAGTTTCTACATAGTTTTTCTTTGAAATACAGAGTTACTCTTCTGGCTGTTTTGTTTCTTTTTCTAATAGAAAACCAAAAATACTCATTTTCCAGCAGAACAGGTGCAAACCCGCATATGTGAAAGATGTTGGCATTTCATTTCAAAAGATGCTCTGTTGTTGTTTCTGGTTTCTGTTTGTCGAAAGCAGTATATGTCAGACGTTTTACTTTGTATATTTTGACCCTTTTAAAGTGAACGAAAACGCCTTATTTCTTGTGTGAAGTACTGTGATGTATTGACTTAAAACAGCCACAGGAACTGATTAGTCTGCGTACCGCAGTGTTCCAGCTGCAGCTGCTTGAAAAACAGCAGCTTTAATAGGAATGTTAACTGTCCAACCCAGTGTGGAATTGCATGAAATGCTTGTAGTGTCTGGCCAGCCTGAGGCTCCCCCATGGTATGTGCCATACGTGAAAGAGTCACAGATTTATTGAGAACCTGTTTAAACACTTACCAGGACCTGTCAGCATTTTTTTTTTTTTAATTGATGGGAAGATAGCTGTAAAGCTATGTATTTTACAAAGATTGGGTTTAGATGCTTGCAGTCCTGAAAGAAGGCAAAAGTAGAGTATCCCTACCTTAGGCAGCTCGGGCCCAATCCTGGTTTCGTTCTCTGATACGGGTGAAAGGTTATCTGAAGGGAAGGCAAAAATTAGAAAATAGTTGGTTCTAAAGGATTTAATAATTCGTTAATCTAAGCACATGAACATCTAATTTTGTCCTATTGCAATTGTTTTCAGGTCAGAAACAAGTTAGATGGCCAGTTCTATGCTATTAAAAAAATTAACATAAAGAAAGCTACAAGAAGAGACTGCATGAAGGTATTCTTTTTCCCATGTTTCATCTGTCTCAACTACCTGTCTGCTCTTGCTGATTCTCGCTTAATTGAGTAATGCAGTTAATTGTTTCCCAAAACATCTAAAACATTAATGTTTTTTATGCGTGCTGAGTTTCTAAAGAATTGCCCCTATCAATACTTGGCAGAAAAAAAAGTAAATGAGAGTCCATTAAAAAGAAGAGTAGTATTAACTTGTATTTGATGATCTCTGCAACTCTGAAAATCATAATTTGTTTTAAAGCATCCAAATTTTCTCCATTACTGTAACAATTTCATCTCTTCTTTCTCTCTCCGTACATTATTTCTGTTACCTTTTGGGTTAACAAAGCACGCAGAATAAAGGACAGTCATACGGTTTCTTTTTGTTATTTTTAGGTGCTACGAGAAGTTAAAGTGCTGGCTGGGCTGCAGCATCCTAATATCGTAGGCTATCACACTGCTTGGATGGAATATGTGCAAACAGTACACCCAAAAGGCAAGTAGAGCATAGTGTGTGATTCTTGCTTGCATCCTGCTTATAACCACTGTACTGTTATTTGCAGGCGAGTATTACTTCTCTGGTAAATTAACTATTTTTTCCCCTCCTTAAAACCAAAACAAAGCAGACTACAAGTGACCACCAGGTCTTCGTGTCCCTCTGCACTTCCATCTCTTCCCTAATAACTTAGCGGTTACTTAGTGATGAATTTGGGACTGTGGAAGTATTACCTTCACTTCTGGTAATCCATGAGGAGGATTTTAAAGTGGTAGGCAGTTCAGTGGGATGCAATGAGAAGCTTTTAATGCAAAAAGTAGTAGGTTGGCAAGGACAAGAATGAAAACTGGGGACGAGCCACATCATCAGATACTGGGGGAAAAGTGATGAACAGGAGAAAAAAAAAACCCATAAATCTGCTACCATGTTTTGAAGTCTCAGCTGTAGCAAAATTAGAATAAATTTACCACTGTTTCTCTTCCTATCTGGAAAAGAACCTGGAAATAAATACTTGAATGCCAACAATTTTTTTTAAATCCCTCTTATTTTGCTTTCCACAGGAAAGCATTTAGATTTGATGCATTGTGTTTCATAGTTATGCAATCTGGTTTTTGGGGTATCAGCTACTGTCTGTAACTGTTGAGAATTTACCTACTTTTATATTTACTGTACATCACCTTCCCTGGCCCCTTGTTTTTTCTCTTTACTTTCTCTGTTCTCGGCTCTCCCACGCTTTGTCCCTTGGTCCCTTTGTAACCCTAATCTGTTTGTCCCTTTCTTGTCCTTTTGCAAAGTGTGTTTAGCAGTTAAATCTTTTGATCCTCTCTTAGTGGGAGGGTTGGTTCTGCTCTACGTGACTTCATTGCTTTCCAAGTCAGTGACTTGATGCCCACTCAGCTATAAGCACAAAAGAAAATGCACAGGAAGTTGATAAGGTAGTAAAACAGACAAGACCTTTTTAACCGCCGATCCTGACAGTCTCAAAGGATGCGACGTTGTAGTGCTAGGAGTGCTTCACAAGTACTGAATGGTGATAACCTAAGTAGCTAGATCTATAGTTAGGTCCTGTAGTCCTTAGTGGTTTTTCTTGGCTTACAAGATTGGTGTTTCATATTTGGTTCTGTGTGCTAAAACAGACTTTTTTTTTCACATAAATATAGAATTTTAATGAAAATTATTGCCAAAATATCAGGTGTCTTCAAAACAGCAGCAGAGTGATGTAAAGGATGGTGCCTTGCTGTGCGTTATCATCATAATACGCCTTAATTCTGAACAGGGTAACTTCTTAAAGGTGAAATCCAGTTGAATATGTAAGAGCCCAGCATAACCCTTGTTGTAGGACCTCATACAACATTTGTTTCCTTTGCAGTTAAAGAACAATGACAAACATAATTAGGGTTGCTTCTTAGCAGACTAAGAAACACCTTTTGCAGCAGCAGAAATAGAGAAAAAGGTGTCTACAGGGGATGAAGTTAAATTCAGTAAGATGTTGTAGCCTAAATGTTACTGTACAGTAAATACATGCGTGCTTTGTTGTGTAACGTACCGTGTTTATCTTGTCATCCAATAGATAAAACAATAATGGACCTGCAGCCATTATCTTTGGAGCAAGAGAGTGGCAAGTAAGTGTTATAAATCTCAATGGTAACATACATTTGGCTTTACCAAAAGGCTTTTCTTTTTAGAGCAACATTAAAAGAGTACAGAATTCGGCATATATTGCACAAGTGCTCTTTGCTTCCAAATTATAACCAAAAAAAGGTTTTAATTATCCTTGTCATTGTTTCTCTTCTGGTTGCTGAAGAATATTACTGGCTACTTCTACCTTTGGATCTCTGAGTTTGAGTGCCTGAATGTAGAGCACTGGGCTTCGCGTTTCCTTCAGAAGCTTTGTGCCAATCAGCGACACTGACTCGTACTCTTAGAGTGATGGGGCCTTCTGTTTCTCAGAAGCCTTGATCAGCCCTTTTCAGTAAGGAGATGGAGTCCTGTGAGAAACACAGTGTAACTCCCCAAACCTGAAGGGATGTTGAAGCCTCCTGCTTCTGTCCCGGGAACGCTGGCACCTAGGACTGTACGTGTCTACGAGCCGTCTGGGTCAGCTGTCAGAAATCCCTGCAGGGGGAAGGTATTAAAAAGGCTGGAGCCTACACTGCCAATTGTGTAGTCCTAAAGTTTTATTTGGGGAAGCAGCTGAACTCTTACTCTGGAATGCAGTTTGCAGTTGAGGAAAAAAAGAGTTTTCAGAATGGTGTCTCGACGTAGATGGTGTAAAACTGTGGGTGTATTTTGAGTTCTCTCCCTTTATTTACAGTCATTACTGTCACATTCAGAGTGTGGAAAGTAGTAGTTCAATTATCTTTGCTGACCTCACTTCACAAGAAAAGAAGTCCTGTGACAGCACTGCCCTTAGAGATCTGGGTAGTGAACTGGTGCAGAATATGGACATAAGGAATGATTTTACAAACGGCAATAGTAAAGAGTGTTTGCAACCAAATATATGTGAATTATCCATGGAGTTACAAGAAGACTCTGTAAGTAGTGTTAACAGTGGATCAACGGATGTGACAAATCATTCAGCACGGGGAGCTCATGCTGGTCTGCACCAGGATGCTAGCACGGGAAGCGAGTCCTGCGCTGAAGAACGCTCCAGGAGTGATGTCACGCTCTGCGGAGGGTTCGAGGTAAATACTGTTCTCGTTTAAGTATACTTAACTGCTGTCTAATTTGATGGTGTTTGTAAAGTGGAGTTTGGTAGACAGACGAATGATTTATAATGATAAATCTTAAAAAACAAAATGACTGCAATTAGAGCCAAAAATACAATTTTTGCTGACGTGGGTAACCGTTACAAGGAAGCTGACATGGGGAGCTGGCAAAACTCAGTATACTGGAAAGTTTCCATGTGTTAGTCATCTTGGGTCCTTTCAGAGCACCTTAATTACTTTGAGTAATGAAGATATTACAGATGAAGGTGTGCACTGTGCTTCTAAAACTGTTGGCACTCATACCGCTGATGTGTTTTGTGTAACACTGACAGCTCTGGATGCTTCAGGCTTTTGCTATCATTTGGAATTCTCTCTTGCAAGAAATCCCAGATTTTAATGGTGCTTGCTTGAGTTGTCCAGGTTATCAAATGAACTAGTATGTTATCAGAAACTGAGTATGAAGTAACATACTCATGTCAATAAATCATAAAGTTCCATATCAAGCGGTTGATTTTGTTGTTGTTCTATATTAATTTACACTATTTTCTTAAGCCAGAATGAGCATATGTTCAGTATGTCCAGAAGCTTTTAAGCTCTAATTTGAATATTAAGGGCTGTTTTGCTAGGTTTTATCATGTAACAGTTGTTACAGTGTGAGGAACGAGTAAAAAAAAAAAAAAAAGGCATTGTTGTCTCTGCTTCTTGAATGCAGATTAATAATAGTGCATTTGATGTCATTTTGGTACCTAACCGGTTATTTATTTTAGAAAACCAAGTTTTGTTTTTACTAGCTTTGAAGAAAAGAACTAAGGAAATACTGTTCATATTACAGAGGCGAAATCATGAACCATTATTTTTCTGTTAGGTGGAGTATCGTTTGATGCTTCATATACAAATGCAACTGTGTGAAATATCCTTGTGCGATTGGATTGTTGACCGCAATAAAAGATGCAACGAGGAAACTCCCAGTAAGGTTCATCACTGTCTTAAAAATCCTTGTATTCATGATAAAACAAGTATTTCTTTTTTCCCAACTGGAAGTCCACTTGTCTGAATCTGTTTTACTTCAGCAACTTATAACATGGATCTTCCTCATCAGATCCTTTATTCACATAATCCAGCAGTGGCTAGCACTGAATCTTTGTCTGCTAGGTGCTGGTAAACGAGATGAAGTTCATGAGTATTAGATAACTCTTCAAAAAAGAATGAATGTATGCCTGAGGCATAGTTGTTACCTGGAGAGATCTGTGCGTGGGCAACATTGCTTATTTGACACAGAGTTTTTCATTGACAGAACCTGCTTTTTCTCAGTAAGCTGTTTAAATAATTTAAATTTTGCTTTGGTAGTAGTTTTGCTGCTACAAAATAGAGCTCTTCACAGGCTAATTTATCCACTGTGAAAATATAAATACATCTTTTCTTCCAGACAGGTTACAACATGCTTAAAAGCTTGTAAGTTTGTTCTAAAGAATCAAAAGTCCTACCCAGGCTAATTTGTCATTGGTCTAAAGAATCTACTTTTACTTTGAGTGGCCAGATTTCTCATGCCCTGATACCAAGCCGTCGTCAGGAATTGTTGACGCTTGGAAGAACGGATCTAATGCTCTTACGGCATTGGAGACACGTTCCTTTCTCTGGGGTGGTTGTATTAAAAAAGCGCATGCTTAGCAGATTGTAAGACACAAACTATGTGACTGATGTTTAATCTTAGTTTTAATTGCTATTAAGATAAACCTGTTCTCCTCAGTCAAGGACTAAGGTTTACCAGTTCACTGTCAGCTGACTTCCACTCATCTCTCCTGAAATTGTAGCCTTTTCATATTTCGGAAGCTAGAAGATGACATTCCTGAATCATTTAGACTTTCACTTGGTTTTAGGTCCGTACCACATTGTAGATGTCTGCCAGACAATGAAGATTTTTCAGGCGTTGGTAGAAGGCGTGTGCTATATCCACAGGATGGGAGTGATGCATCGAGACATTAAAGTAAGTTCATTAAATTACTGTTTGAGGTTAAAGAAAAGAAAGATGACGTACATTATGGGAGAATAACAGCAACCTCAACAAGGGAATTGCAATTTTTGAAATGAAAATCCATAAACGTAATCAGAGGATTTGGAATCTCACACCTGGACAGTGTTGTTCTTGATGTTGCAGGGTGTCTGGTTCTAGCATAGCTGTGAAGTAGCTGCATTTTTTGCCTCAACAAGGGAATTGCAATTTTTGTAATGAAAATCCATTATCGGAACCAGAGGATTTGGAATCTCGCACCTGGACAGTGTTGTTCTTTGAGATGTTGCAGGATGTCTGGTTCTAGCATAGCTGTGAAATAGCTGCATTTTTTTTATTCAGTGCAACATTTTTAAGGTACTATAAAACCAGCAGAAGCTTAAGAATTAAAAAAAAAAAAGGCTTAAGTTGCCTTTGCTTTCTTGTTAGTGCTAATTTCTGTTTAATAGGGAAGCAACAAGCACGAAGCAACAGTGCTCTCACTCCTCATCCAAACGTACCTAAGCTCAGAAGCCTTGTGGAACAGACCATGTAAACTCAGTGGTTTTGTATTACCTTTTCTTCTCCCCGGCCAGCGCGTTTTTTCTCCTAGATCCGTAATGCGAGCGCTTCCCCTCCTCAGTGGTCCTACAGCCAAAATCTACGGATGAAACTGTTCCAGGTTTTCCAGTCAGTGCTCTCTGCTCAAGTCTCTCATCACTTTGGCTTTTCTCCTAGCAACTTCCCAGAACCAGGTAGCATGTTGGACCTGTGCTCATCCCATGGAAAAGTACTCTGGTTGACATGATGTCTAGCCCGAAGATGGTAGTTAATCCTTCCGGCTACAACAGTTGGTCTCGTGCTGTCTGCTCTTGCCTCTTCCTGCTAACATTATTGTTCTGCAAACTTCTCATTTTCTGCTGAAGGAAACCCCAACTTTACCTTTCTGCTAAATCTTTGTTTTTCTTGTTTCGCTTTTCCTTTTTTCTAGATCCTTCACATGTGATCGTTCTGCCCAAACGGTGCTGCTGATACATAAAGTGCTAAACAATTATCATCTTATACCTGTGAAACACTGGATTTTATAGACTTTGAAACAGCTGAAATTTCATAATTCGTGATATAGATATATTTTAGATTTTACACTATTATGTTTTGTAGCCCAGAAATATCTTTCTACATGGATCAGATCAACATGTAAAAATAGGAGACTTCGGATTAGCCTGCAAAGACCTTCTCTGGGATGATGCAGACCAGTGGTTTAAGGCAGAAAGGACAAATGGTAAGAGGAAAAAGCTGAGTGGGGTGGCTATGATATTAAAACCATTAACTATTAAATGCCAACAATGTAACACTAGCTGAATAAGTCTAAATTGCCTTTTTAAAGGATTGACACATACTTCAGGCGTGGGGACTTGCCTCTACGCCTCACCAGAACAATTGCAGGGATCCCACTATGATTTCAAGGTAGGGAGCTGCTTTTTTTTCTCCTGTTAATACATGATGATAGATAATGAGATTAGAACAATCCTTTCAGTAGGCAAATACACAGTATTTGGTAAATACCTAGATTCCTCCTACTGTTACTCCAAATGTTTTTGTTGAAACATGGATTTCAGCTCTGCCTTTTGGTTTGCTACTAATCAAAAATCATTTCCAAGATCATCTTGAGGAATCTGTATAGGCTTGCATTTGTGTTCCTCTAGTAGTATCACAATACTGTGCTTAAAATCATGAAACTTCATTGTTGTGAAAACAGTTTTCATGCGTTTTTTATCAGAAAAAGAAATGTAGTAAGTAATTTAAAAAAGCAGTTATCCCAGAACCTTTTCTTCACCCCATTACCAGTCAGACATGTACAGCATGGGGGTTATCCTGCTGGAACTCTTCCAACCATTTGGAACAGAAATGGAAAGAACAGAAGTTCTTATACATTTAAGGAATGGCCAAATTCCTCATACTTTCTACCAAAAATGGCCTGTTCAAGCCAAGTACGTGAAACTCCTCACCAGTCAGAGATCTACAGAAAGACCAACTGCTGCTCAGCTTCGGGAGAGTGAATTATTTCATACCTCAGAACATGTAAGTTATGCCAGTAACCTCAACCTTCACAGGATAAAGGACTCTAAAAGAAATGCTCTTTGTTTCCCTGCCTGTTATGGGGTTTTTGGTTTTGTTTTTAACTTCAGAGGATTGTATGAGTGAGACTTTTTTCCCTGATTATGGTATTTAGACCACTGTACATTAATGGTCATTAAGTGTAGGTAACATTGTTATGAATACTGCTGATTTACATACAGCCTGGGGTATTTTTATAAGTCAGAAGGGATGTTGAAGCTTTTTATCAGCTCTGCAGAATCCTTTTATAATTTCCCCTTCCCAGACTTTTTTGTCTGCGGGTTCAGTTGTAGCATCAGATATGCAGAATGTGGCTGCAGGGGACTGCAAACACAGTTCAACAAGGTTAATAAGGCTCTATCCTTGCCTCTCTCAGTGAAGTAAAGAGACTCTCATTTTCAGGTTATTTCTAACCTGCAGCAGAAGGTGAGACAGCAGGAGGAAGAAATAGAGAAGCTGAGAGAGAGAATAAGACTGCTTTCTGAAGAACAAGATGAACAGACAAGACTGGGCTCTCCTGTCTGAATATAGGAAGAACAAACCTCTATTGTATGCTAAGTTATATAAAACTGTTTTTTAACAAAAAAAAAATTTCAGTGCATTTTTATGTTCCTGGCTGTTCTTTAAAGGGTTTCATCTTCTTGCCTTAATGCAGAAGCCTCCTGTCAGGAGACAGGATTCCTGGTGCACTTAGCTTCACTACACAGTGTGCAAATGAGCACTCCAGTTACAGGGGAAAAATGCAAGCAAAAATTAGAAGTGCAGCTTGTACTTCCAGGGGCCTGCTTTCGCCACCTTACCGTACCTGAACTGCTGTGTAACACGCATGTTTGCTACAAAAAGAAAGGGCACAGCCAAAAGGCAGCTGTAACGCTTTTATTGATTTTGGAAGTCTGTCCAGCTGTGGTACCTGAATACATTTCAGACTGGACTCAAACCACTACAGCAGGCAAGAGGCAGAGAAGGATTAACACCACCACCATTACAAAGAGTACAGGCTTACTTCAGCAGCTTCATCACAGAGCTGAAAGGGGCCAAGTTCTCACACGACTTCATCCACTTTTGCACGTTGGCTGGGGCAGCATTTGCACTACCTGTCTGCCGCAGCGCACACCACGCGACAACGTCTGCTACTGTGAGTTCATTTCCCACCAGCCACGCTGTCTTGCCCAGGGCAGCGTTCATAGAGCGCAAAACTGCTCCTTTTTCCTTGCTGCTGCCGCCTTTTAGCTGGAAGATGGCTGTGTCAACCCAGCTATCAATCAGAGTTGAAGTAACTGCATTGTACTTCTGGCCAAACAGGGAGAAGAGAAATCTAGCGATGTTCCCCTCTCCTTCAACAGGGCACATGGTTTGAATGCTAAACTTCATCTGGGGTTTTGGAACTGAAATTGAGAGAGAAAGAAGTGAATACCACAGAGCAGGGAAGTGAAAATACATGACAGAATTACCATTACATTTACTTGTGATGCCAGCAACACTGTAACATCATAAACCTGATGAACAATTTTGTTTGCTTAGTCAGGGTCTTTAGACTAAAGCAGGAACCTGGGCTAAAGCCATCACTTCCTGCCAACTTCAGCCCAATCTCTCACCTGAGAAAGAAGTGAATACCACAGAGCAGGGAAGTGAAAATACATGACAGAATTACCATTACATTTACTTGTGATGCCAGCAACACTGTAACATCATAAACCTGATGAACAATTTTGTTTGCTTAGTCAGGGTCTTTAGACTAAAGCAGGAACCTGGGCTAAAGCCATCACTTCCTGCCAACTTCAGCCCAATCTCTCGCCCAATCTCTTCAGCCCAATCTCTAGAATTTCTCTTCTAGCAAACTTAGTTGTAGAAACTGATACGCATCTCTGCAAAAACAATCCTGTGGGTACAACCAGCCACGTAAGTGCCACGTGTGTTTCAACAGCAGTAACCACTCACAATCTTCCTCCTGTCCCCCGCGTTGTTCACAGTTACAGAGAGCCAAGTGGTACCTGCAGTACACATCCATCGTGTGTCGGCACAAAGGCACCAAAGCACCTGCTGTCGAGGTGTTACAGCACACGTTTCATCTCCTCATCCATTGTAACATACAGATCTACACGCTAACTTCATTCTTACCATCCTTCCAAATCAGAGTAAAGCCCAACTGATACTCGTGACGTGGCTGCTTCTTAGTCTGCTCTCCAAAGCATTTCAAGAGGTTTTCTGGCACGCTTCTCACCGATGAATGGGTGTGAACGGCTGATAGTACTTTATAGCGCTCACAAAGCAGACGGTGTAGTACTAACAACGACAGTGGAGGCAGGGAAGGGTTCGCATTGATTACGATATCTTTCAGGGCACCATAATCCTGAATGGGAAGACAGACATTCAGCAGATGAGACATTCCAGATGAGACTTTGAAGTACTGGAGTTCTCATCTGGCACCAAACATACATAATGTGCATGTGTACTGCCAAATTCTAGGGATATTCAAGTAACTCCAGTTTGGGCACTTAAAACTTGCTTAAACATTTAACCTCCTCCTTCCTCAACAGTAATATACTGAACGTGACTGAGGTAAATTCTGGTACAATCTGAAGCCAAAGTTAAAATTCCCAGTTGGTAACAAACAAGAAACCAACTACCATAATCTCAAATGTACCCGTTCTATCTTGGCTTTATATCCAAATGAGAACACAGACGGTTTAGTATTTACAAGTGTTTGTGTCCATAATATTGATGCCCAAAACGAAACGGTAATTGTAGGTTATTGGTAAGGATAAGAGACTTGTGTAATACATGCATTCTGAGTGCCCCCAGTTTTCATGCCACACTTCCCACCCAGAGCATCTATCAATGTGTATGCTCAGGTGAACTTACCTTTCCAAGCATCAAATCCAGGTCTGCTCCATCTGTTGTCAAAGGAGAACATTCATCAGTCTGAATGCTGTTGGTTACATCAAAGTCAGCATCTGGGGTTTGGATCATCTTGGAGAGGCCATCGACAGCACTCTTCAGTTCATACAAGCGTTTCAGAATCTCTTCCTGGCGGGATTCGAGTGCTTGAAGTGACGGGTCAACCTCCTCCTACAAGAGAGGAAAAAACATACATCTTCACTCAGCTCAGGGTGAAAACAGTTGATGCTCACTTGACAGTAAATTTTTAGAAACTTTAATCCCATTCAAATAATTGGAACGTCATGGAATGTCGTGCTCGTTGTCCTTTTCCTTAGTCTGAATGAATGTGTCGAGAGATGGGTTATTCAGTCAAATCTCTGACATCTTTTCGTGTTTCTTGTAAACCACTAGTTACAGCAAACTCCATCGTGTAGTAAAAAATCAGACCACAACCACAGAAACCTTAAGTTGGCAGTGAAGTGCTGAATTAAAACCTGAAAAAACAAAGCTTGGGTTTTTCAGAAAAATCTGAAATCCACAGCTGCACTGTGCACAGATTGCCCAGAGAAGCTGTGGATGCCCCATCCCTGGAAGTGTCCAAGGCCAGGCTGGATGAGGCTGGGAGCAACCTGGTCTAGTGGAAGGTGTCCCTGCCCATGGCAGGGGGGGTGGAACTAGATGGTATTTAAGGTCCCTTCCAACCCAAACCAGGCTGTGATTCTGTGAAAGGCAGCTCATCACGATTCTCTGCAGCCCCGAAGAGCATACCAATAAGAGTTTGTGTTGAGGCTGCCAAACAAGGAAACTTTTTGACAATTCAGGTAGTTAACAAAAGTCGAGAGCCTGCAGGTTTGGGTGGATGGTGTATTCTATGAAATCACTCATAGTCATTCTTTGTTTCAGAGAATATAGAGGAAAAAAGGACCATAGGCTTTGCTACACGTGAATCCCAATGCATCGTTTCTTATCTGTTATCTTACAATGCTACCTCTTTTAAAAGATTAAAAACATATTCCTGTGGGAGGCTTTAAGTCTACAAATTTACAATAAAGTTACAGAAAAATCTTTACATAGATAATCCACTTCTAAACATCCTGAATAGGGATTAGTAACACCCAGCCTATCGACCAAACTTCTTTTAGTCCAATAGAGAGAACAAATAAGGTATTAAAGTGAATCTTGATACCCACTTACATAATACTCTTTAAGACAAGACACAAACCCAGCTCTTAGGTGACCATTACTTTTGCTAGTACACAGTTCTGTGAAATAAAACACACTCTCAGAGGAGACTGGTAATTAATACCTTGCTGTTGCAATGGCAGGGCATCTCAGTAAGCATTGCTGTGAAGTTCTGCCCCAAGTCTATTCCTACTCAGTATCTCCACCAGGAACCCGGGGGAGGGCACAGCAAGTACTCACTGGAAAGATATGATGGCATCAAGCTAAAAACAGCCACAAGCTGCATGGAAGAATTCACAGCATTCCTGTCACTGGAGAGAGGCCAAAGTCAACTAGATTAACGTAACATAGTATTTTGCATTTTTGCCTTATTTAAGAAAGAAGTAACTGAGACTGGAAATATGAACTTGCCAGCTGCACACCTCCTATCTCAAAGGCAGAAAAGAAACCAGACGTGAGCCAACAGAGCGATGATGCAGCAGGAAGGGACAAGGCCTGCTGGGCCGCTGCCGCCAGCGTGCAGGAGGCTTGCTTGGCCTCAGCTCTGCGGGGTACTCCAGACACTACCCGTTGAAAATACAAACTGAGAGAGAGACACACTCGAAAGCCCGGAAAAGCCAAGCTGAGAATTACCGAAGGCTTTAAAAACACCACAGGAAGTTACT